TCATCACCAGCCACCGTTACCCATGGCCTAGTTCAGGTGGATTTCCACGAACTTGCCAGCAATATGACACTGGATGTGCCTTTCACCAGCTGCCCGTCCTGCTGCCTGGGCAAGTCCTTCTCAGCTTGGGTGGGAGAGCTTTACCCTCAAGGTGACATTTATCCCAAAGAAATTCAGAGGGCCTGGGGGAAGTCTACCACATAAGAATCCAAGCCAGAAAAGGGTTTTGTTTTCAAGACAAGGTTTCACGGAGCCCAGGCTGGCTTCAGATTCACTATGTGGTTGAAGATGGGTGACTTTGAACTTCTGATGCGTCTGCCCCTGCCTCCAAAGCTCTGGGATTCCAGATGTATACCATAGGCGTGTGGCTGGTTAGGTGTTGAATATCAAACCCAGGTCTTTGTGTATTCTAGGCAAGCACCCTACCAAGTGAGCTATGTGCCCCACCCAAGAAGAGTTTCAACAGTTGGAGTTCTACAGACACAGGGGCTAGGAGGGTTTTGAGGTGGTGAGCTTTCCTTGGGGGCATTTTAGGCAAGGCTGGGTGAGAAGATGGGTTGCCTACTCCTTCACTTTCTTTGAGCTCCTATCCAATTGGAGATGCTAAGACTATTGCAACTGAGTCTAATTTGTATTCTTCCTGCCTCTAAGCCTAAACTAGCTGCCTGCTGATTGCCAGAACCCAGGTCCAGGCCCCTTCTTCTGCCTATGGCTCAGTACACAAGGGTAGTAACAGTTCCGCCCTTCTGCTCTGGTCCAGAGCCACTGCTATGACCCAGAATTGGCAGGCAGCAAGAGACATGAAGTGCAGTGGTTGAACAGCTTTTTTTCCTTTTTTCTCCATGAGACAAGGTTTCTCTGTGTAGCTTTTGGAACCTGTCCTGGACCTTGTTCTGTAGACCAGGTTGGCCTCAAACTCACAGAGATCCACCTGCCTCTGCCTCCCAAATGCTGGGATTAAAGGGGAGTGCCACCACCACCTGGCCGAGCAGCTCCTCTGAAGATCTTGTGCCACCTCTGCCTCCATCACTAACCCCTCCCAAGTGGGCAGCTGATTACATAACTTGTTGCTTCCAAATGTGTGGGGCCATCCATGGCTTGTGGCTCCAGGTTGCCCTCATCCTGGGAGAGTCCCAAGGTGTTCTCTTGATTTGGGGGCTGGACATGGCTGTGCCCCGTCTCCATGTTAGCTCACGCAGAGGCCCTTTGCCTCTGCCATGTGCTGGATGCTCTATGTCTCAAGTTGCAGCTATTTCAGGGCCTCGCGCAGCTGACCCGCTGCTAGGACAGCTATTTGGAGCCTGCTGGCTGCCCGCAGCTGCTCCTGCTGAGTGCTGGAGAGGAAGGGGAGAAGACATTCTTGGGCTGGGTCTAGCCATTTCCAGCTGTTTTCGAGCCTCGGCTCCTAGCTCAGCAGCATTTCCAATAAGTCCGTTTCCCAGCCTGTCTGTCTGTCGGCCCCTCTCCGTCCACCCTCGCATTCCTTCTCCTTTAATCTCCACATGGAGCTGCTTCTCCTGGGATTTTAGTCAGTGATTTCATCCAAAGAGCATTTCCTGGGTGCCCACTGTGACTTTCCTGTCCACAGAGAGCATGACCAGCCTATTTGTGTGGGTGTCTGGTGCTGGGGTTTGAACCCAGAGCCTTATGCATGCTAGGCATACGCTTTACCACTGGCCATGCCCCCACCCCAAAATGCTAATATCTGAAATTGTCTGGGCAACGGGGCGTCTGCCCACCCCTGACCTGCCAGAACTTGTCAAGACAGGCATCTGGCTCCATTCTCTAATGCCCTGGGGAAGTTGCTTGCACACAGGCCACCAGCTCAGTACCAGGTAGAACATCTGCTGCCTGGTCTGGGACGCCCTAGAGCCCACGGTGACATGGGAAGAGTGGCCCGTACTGACATGTGATCACATGTGCCAGGTACTTCACCAAGTGTCCAGTGGGCCTTCCTCCGTCACACCCCTGAAGCGTCCTTCCAAGGGGAACCTCAGAATACAGGCTTTACAGAAGTCAGATACATCTCTCACAGCCGAAGAAGAAAGGTCCCATGAGGGTAAACCACTTGTCCAAGGTCAAGTCAGGATTTGAACCCAGACTGATTACTTCAAATTTGCTACACTCAACTATGTTCCTACCAATATATTGCCTACCTAACTGATACTCAAAGTATTCTTAAGTTGTGTTATTCAGAGTAGATAGCCACTCTGAGCCTTGAGCTTCTCACGGCACACCCGGAGTACTGTCTGGGTCTATTCCCTCTCTAAGTGGTGGAAAGGTGTGTCTACAATCTTCAGTATGGAGGGAGAGGTGAGGAGATGTGTCCTCCTACAGGCTCAGAGCTCAAGCGGTGTGGTGCTTTAGATACAGAGATGAAGAATTCAGTTTCAGAGAACCTGACCCCTCAGAGGTCAAAGCTCTTTCTTGCTTATTGAATTACTTCCTCAATTAGTGTCCACAACTTTGACCTGCACTGCTGTGAACTACATACACCATGGCATGCTCAGCTCCAGGACGCAGAACAGCCTGTCCCAGAGTGTGGGGGAGCCCGTGTGAGATCTTTCCGAGAGGTGGTGGGTGGACCTCTCTGAACCATCGACTCCTCTTCTTGATATTTCCGTCTCCTTTCGTCCCCCAACTAAGGCCCAGCATTGCAATCTCTGAGGGGTCAGGGAGCAGAAACTGGTTCTCCAGGGCCCAAGCTTTCCCCACCTATTTCCCTCCCTTGACCTCTTCCTTCCTGTCCCCTCCACCCCGTTTCCCCTCACCTCTGCCTCTGAACATCCCCAGCCTCCAAGCCATTGCTGTCGTTGTCAGAGTCAATTCCCTGGAATAATCGAGTTTTCCGGTTGGTTCCCTCCTCCTTGCCAAGGCAATACTGGGAAACCCCAACCCGTCAGGCCCCAGAAGGCTTTCGGAGCAGCCTGAGACTTAGGAAGGGCAGCGCCTAACCTTCCTGAGTCCAGATAGCATCATCGGGGAGAGGTAAAGAGAGGGGCTTTGATGACTCCTCCACCTTCAGTGGAAAGTCAATGATGGCTCTTCTTGCTGGCTTAATCTTCTAGGCTTTGCCAGAGGACTCGGGCACCCCAGTCACCTCGGCACAGGGAGGCATAGGTCATGGTGTGGCTTACAGTGGTGCCAGTCAGATTTGGGAATGCCAACTTTGCAGAAGGGGTTCTATCTGAAACAAGTGTGATTCTGGGTGTTGGTGGTGCACACCTATAATCCCAGCACTCCAGAGGCAGAGGCAAGCGGATTTCTGTGAGTTTGAGGCCAGTCTGGTCTACAGAGAAAGTTCCAGGACAGCCAGGGCTGTTGCACAGAGAAACCCTGCCTCGAAAAGCCAACCCCTCCAGTTCCCCCCAAAAGGGTGTGGCATTGGGGGATGGACAGACCTTGCCAATATTGAGTCTACTTACTCAGTGGCTGTCACCCAACACCCCTGAGCTGTATTTACAGTGGGGTAGCCTCCACGGGCTGTTTGAAGGATGACATTTGGGGTTAGCACATGTTGCTGTCACTGTAGGTTACAGATCCACATAGCGAGGGCATAGCATACCACTAAACGAACAAGGCTGGAAGCAGCTGTTAGCATGAAAGGGAGGTGCTCGGGATACTGTGAGACACCAGCGGGTGTGAGTGTGCAGTGTGCAGCAGGGACTTGAGCCTGACGTCCATGCCCATGGAAGGGCTTAACACACTTCCTGGATGCCCAGAAGTCATCCACAGAATTTAGTGCCTGTGTTCTGAGATGGGCCGAAGTTACCACATTTTCAAAACGGCTTATTACTCATGGAAGGTTAAACATTATTGGTGTTTATAGAGTAGAACTCAATTTTTGCATTAGCAAAAACCCAAAATACATCTAAAAGAATCTGTCATGCCACAATCCAAATATGGAAAAGCCCCTCCCCATTCTCTGGGTGACTGGCTAACAGGCAGCCTTGTGTGTTTCTTTTTGCTGGAATGTATATATTGTCTTCAGAATGAAGCTTGTATCAGCTGTCTGGATTAGTGAGACAGGTTGGAAGCTCGGTGAAGCTGCTCTCAAAAATCTATTTCTTGGATGAATTTAACTTCCTTCCACATTAATGTCTTTACATGACAATGGTAACCTCAAAGCCTAAGTATTGATCTTAGATGTTGCTATTTATGCAAAGAAACTGGGAGAGGGTGGTCCCTTCTGGGCTTCTAGAGTGTTACCGTATCAACAGTGCCTGTGACTAATGGTTATTGTTTGTGTAAAAACCACTCTGAGGACTGGGGAGATAGCTCAGTGGGCAAAAACCACGAGGATCTGCGTTACCTGTCTTTTAAAGGCAGGATGTAGTAGTGTGTTCATACCCACTGCTGGGGACTGGGGGATACCTGGGACTTGCTAGCTAGTCAGCGCAGTCTACTTGGCTATTTCCAGACAAAGAGGGAGTGGGAGGGAGGGAGGGGGAGAGAGTTTGTTGTTCTCTAAACAAACAATCGTGGCCTGTGCCTGAGAGACAGCACCTAAGACTGACTTCTGGCCAAATCCTAGATGTTAAACATAAAGTAGGGAAGTCCTAGGGATTAGAATTTAAGAAACCTTTTTCTCCCATGGAGGGGCTGAGGGTACAGGACATCAATTCACTGAAACTGTAAGTCTTAGCGGCACTGTGGCACGCACAGAGTTCGAGGCTAGGCTGGGACATGAGACTCTCAGAAAAAGAAAAGGTCCTCCTAATACAGTTTAAGAATCAGCACACTACAAGTTCTGCAGGGTTACTGAAGACAGTAAGGAGAAAGCATTGCTGGCTGGAAAGCATTTAGAAGCAACTCGATGGCCTTGAAGTTGGTGTCTTCCAGCGGCATGCTTTGTTTAAAAAGAACATTCCCGCGCCCCCTTCGCTTTCCAACTTTGCACCCCGAACGAATGAGCATCTTTAGTGTCGGTGGCGCAGGCAGACTGCGCGACCGCTGTGGGACGGTGACGGCCGCCCTGTCTCTTGCCCTCCCCGCTGCAGACAGCGAGCTGGTGCTGCCCGACTGCCTGCGGCCGCGCTCCTTCACCGCGCTCCGGCGGCCGTCCCTGCGGTGCGAGGCGGACGATGCGCGCCTGTCCGTGAGCCTGTGCGACCTCAACGTGCCGGGAACTGACGGCGACGATGGCGCACCGCCATCCGGCTGCCCGATCCCACAGA